TTGTTGTAAAAAAAAAAAAAAAACAGCTGCTCGTGGCCGATTGATGCTATCGGAAATGACTCAATTCCAAGTGTTTAAAGAAATAAAAACCGCGGCTCCTTTTAAAACCCCATTTCTGGGAGCTTTTACCTAGGACAGAAAACTTAATATTTGCCCAGCCAAGCAGTGCTTTTGGAGGAAAGAAGGGAATGACGTTCAGGCAGGCGGGAGCAATTTGAGCCCGTAGCCGATTCAGTTATTTACAGAGTTCCCGCGAAATACGTCACGACCTTAGGGCAAGAGTCGTACCCTCCGCGGTAAGTTAACGAAAACCTACGGGAACGGCAGCAAAGGCCTCCCGAAACCCCGCGCTACCCGCCGTTAAACGCGGCGGGCCGTTTTTTCGGAGAGGAAGCCCTCAAAGCTGCCCCTGAAAAACCCAAACACGGTAAATACGGTGTGTAAATTACCTCAGCCACGGAGGAAACGTCACTGTCCGTGTCGTATCTTTAAATTACTTTCATTGCTGTGGGAACGCGTTTGGTTGTTCAAAAGCAAAGTCTGGCCGCAAAATTTTAACCCCTTGCTTTTAACACCTAGCATTGTACAGTGCTGATTATATTTAGCAATATAGACGGCAATACAGCATTACGCAAGTGGTGGCGTTTGCAAATGATGTAAATTATGCCCGTCGGGAAAGGTAAGCACGGAGAGATTCGTGGATGCAAGGGAACATCACACCGATGAAGGCGTTGGATGCTGCTGATGTTTGGGATCCCTGTCATTTAAATACTTCGCACGCTCAGGTAATTGCAAGATAAGAAAAGAGTCTAGATTTAGCTGTTCAACCTGGGCTAACCGCAGCGCTAAACCGAGCAGCGCGGGAAACTGAGGCTGTTATTTCTGCCTTTCACCCGAGCAGCACGTGTCCTGGCTTTAACGGGTTGCTTCCCCCCGCTCCCCATCAGCGCGCTGACGTATCTTTAGCACCGTTTGATAAATGAGGGAGCCGCACTATGACTTGGGCTCTTCGCCCAGGCCGCTCGGCGCCCCCGGGCTGGCGCGAAGCCCCTGCGGCGCACGCCTGGGTCTGCTGCGGCCCGCTGCTTTGCGCGGCGCTCCTGCCCGTCGGAGGCCTGGCGGGGT